TCCCTAGACAGAGTTGCTTAAAGCCTCATCCAGCCTGACCTTGAGTATTTCCAGAGATGGGACACCCACATCTCTGGGCAACATGTTCCAGTGTCTCACTACCCTAATGATAAAAAAATCTTCCTTCTGTCTAATCTAAACCTACTCTCTCTGAGTATAAAACCATTGCACCTTTTTCTGTCACTACAGGTCATGGTTAAAAGTCTCTTTTTGTCTTTCCCATAAGCTCCTTCTGTATTATGATAACATTATTCCTGCATATATTACTGGGAAATGTTAAATCATTCAAAGAAGCAAACAATTCAGAAAAGAATAGTAGTAGTACTATGTGGTCCTTTTGAATTAATTATGAAACTCCCATAAAAGTCAGTGAATGTTGCAACCCCTCCATGTGGAAGTCATTGTCTCCCAGCTCAGCAAGGCAACACAGGGAGACATGAACCAGCTGATCAGAACTTCAGTCCTATATCAGGTAGTCATCAGTCTTATCAAGTATGCTTAAAAAGGTGCAAACTCTTCCCCCTTTCTCCCCATCTTCTCTCAAAGGAAAAAATCATTACATACAGTCTCATTCGTGCTGTCCTATCGACTCTGCACTGCCTTGAGACACCTCTAGGAAGTAGCTAGCCTCTTACATATCCTTCTCATTTTAAGAAAATAGTGGAGACATGATAAAATAGCCCATAAATTCTGATATTCCTAGGAGTCTTCTAGGAAGAAAAATGTTAAAAGAAGTTACAATATTGTATTATATTTTCATCAATTTCAGTTTTTATGTATTATAGCTACTCTATTCATACATTTCAATGAATAGTATGTTGAAATGATTACAGCCCTTTCACAGATAATGCATACAGTATACTTTAATTACAGTATAATGTACTTGCTATGGGTAGAATTGCAGATAATAGGTAAAAAGTAGAATTTTTGCTGATAAAATAACATGATCTCTATGCTTTTTTGTTATCAAAAGAAAGAAATATAGTAGGTCTTTGTGCAAATGTGTGTGCCTACCTTCTCTTCTAGACAGTAAAAGCAGAGTTCCTTTAAAATGGCAACAGATTTATGTAAGAGAAAGGGAAGAAAACCAGACTGACTTTACATTTGTCTCATTTTATTATTTCTCAACTGATAGTGCAGATGAGAATACAATGTATAGGAATTTCTGAATGCAGTGTACCAGGACCCAGAAGGATTTGTGCATGGCCCCATGCCAAACCAGTTTAAACACCTGTGTCTCCATTCTCCAGCCTCTGTAGTGGAGGCTGCCATTTGCAGAGCAGAGTTCATCACTTGATGGTAGCCATCCAAAGTCTCATTTCTGATCAGACTCCCTGGGCTCTCCTTAGCAATGGGGGAAAATGAAGATCCCTGAAGAGCACCTCAAGCTGCCTTTGTCAATTGCTTGTCTTAAGACAGCATACACCACTTCTTGGCCTTACTAGAGAAAGGCTACAAATTTACCTTAGAATAGGTGCATAAGTTTCAGGCTGTTCTTCAGACTTTCAGGACTACTTTTTCATATGTGCCACAACTGCTCTGATAAAAACACTTGAATGCAAATACT